AACTTCAGACTATACAGAAGCATGGCAGCAGCAACATCATGCTATGGGGATTCTCTTTAAGACCCATAACAGGGAATCTTTCTAAACTTAGCAAGATGATTGGCACATACACAGTATCCTCTGCAAACAACTTAAATACATCCATATGGGAATATTAAAGACTAATGTCCTAGTCAAAGTCCAGACCAAAATAAACAAGTAAAAACAAAAAAAAATCCATCCAATCTCATTGAAAACTTGCAATTTTTTCTTTAATTAATCTTAACCCACAGATTGTCAAACTGGCATCAAAGGAAAAGCAATAACTCAAGTGTCGCCCCCTGATCCTGCTAACAAATTGAAGCTACCACTTATGAGATTAACAACCCAACAATTAAGCTAATACACGACAGAAAGCACTTAGGGCTGCAGAAAAGCCTGTAAGAGCTGACCTAATGTTTTGGAACGATGTCCACTCACTTTAAGAAAGCGGGCCAAATTTCTCATGAAAGAGAGGCTCTGGGATTCTCTTGCTACTCTACTGTTTAATAACGTTGTAAATATTCATTTTTAAACTTCCTGTCTGCATCTTTATTGGCACATTTTTAAGCTTAATTTTCAGTTAATCTCCTCTGGAGATATTAGCTGTAATACATCCAGACCCAAACCACCATCTAGAAAAAAACCAGACCAATAATGTTGATGGGTTTAACAGCTTTCTGAGAACTCACACAGTATCACCTCTTCAGTTTTCATCTAAGTGCTTCCCTGATGTAATAAAACTTCTAATGAGTTCAGAGAGGACAGAGGGAAAGATCAGTGTGAGGGAGACACACAGACAGTGGGGAAGGGGTGAGATGATTGCAAACGCTAGTGGAGGAATTGAGTTCTGAGCGGCTCGTATTTCGTTGAAGCAGCAGCAATACCCACTGCTTCACACCGGACAGAACTGAGAAGCTGTCAAACACCAACCAAAAACCAACTGTCGCCCTAATGACCACTTCTGGGAGGATAAGAATGATGCATTATCGTCTGTTCCCAAATCTGTTTTTTTTTTTTGTTTTAAGAAAGCTAAAGGAAGTCCTGTTTGAACCCATCATGGACCATAGTCAGTAGAAATGAAGGCGATAAGTGAAAATTTATATTTTTCCCTTTTTTATTTAATTATTTGTTAATGAAATTAACAAATAGAAGACGATTTTCTATTTCCGGGTGGATCATCTAAATAGGTGGTGCTCTTATTGTCAATCATTCTGGTGATATGTAGCCTAGTAAACTAGCCCCACCCGCCAGCGGCCAAAATAATTTTAGCCTGAGGGTGGTCTGCACCATGGCCCTAGAACTGGTGGGCAAATAACAGAGCAGAGATCTGTTTTGAATTTTTGGATGCAAAGCAGGCAGGGTTTGGAGGGCGTGACGACAAAGCTGTGCAACGCTGGTGAAAGCACAAGGAAGATGGCAACAACTATTGAACAGTTCTCGTCTGACTCAGCTTTGGAATCAGTTTAGAAGGATTAGACTTGGGGTTTTCGTTGAAACGTGAGCAGGAAGAGGCTCTACGTTCACTCATTTTTAAGAAGGACGTATTCGTCGTTTTACCGACAGGCTGTTTGTTTACACTCCCCCACCAGCTTTCTGTCAGTTGCACTAATTAGTCAGTTGCACTAATTGGTCAGAGCATTGGCCAATAGGCACAGACATGGTTTGAAAAACAAGTTGTCCTCATCAACAATCTTCCGAGGTCTCATTCATCAGGGGCCAGACTAAATTACACATTTAATCTGGTTTATCAGGCTAGGTGATATGTTTTTAGTAAGGTCGTCCTAAATGTTCGCCCACTTAGCTATCTTTCTCTGCGCATTCAGGCGTAATCTGTGGTGAGCTACAGTTTCAGACAGTCATTTTAGCTCACCTTTCTCACCATGGTTCCTTAAAAATGGTCTAGGGTCGTACGAGAAAAAGTGTCTACAAAGTGTATGAGAAGCAATGAAAGGCCTCAGAATAGGCAGATATACCCCAGAATGCTTTGCGTGGAGAGCTCTCCTTGCAAAGCATTATGGGATTTGCTGTAACAGTGGCCCGCTGTCGCCAAATGATGCCCCTACCCGAGAGCGGCGACTGATTTTGAAGTTGGCACAGACGGAGGAGGAGTTACGTGACCAAAGGAGCAAAAAGCAGTGATCATCTGTCCAAACAGTCAGTTACCTTAGTTCACTATAAAGTCCACTATATAGTCCCTGCTCTTGTATGAGCTATGATAACAGCAACTTTTAAATAGAACGTGCAACAGGAGAAATGGGCTTGTGCACGTTGTTACGTGTGAGCATATTAATAGGAGTTCCCTCTTCGAAGCAGCTACAGGGTTGTGCATGTGCTTTTTTTTTTTTTTTTTTAAGTGGAGAGGCCGAGTCTTTTTTAAAAATCGCAAAAATCCTCCACAATACTTTTAATAATCTGTTTGTGTCAGGTTTCTGTTATGTTTTTTCTTTTGAGTATCCAGTTTTGCTTTGCTCCTTGCTTTCTAGTTTTAGTGGGTTAATTCTTAGTTTATTGAGTTCTTTGGTTTTTTTCTCAGTTACTGTCTCAGTCTTAGATCTGTTATATTTTCTTTTTAGTGTTCAGTCTTGCTTTACTCCTTGTTTTCTAGTGTTAGATGTTTTATTTTGCTGTGTCCTTTGGTTTTCTCTCAGTTACTATCCCAGTCTTGGTTCTGTTATGTTTTCTTTTGAGTGTTTAGTTTTCTTTTCTCCATGTTTTATAGTCCTAGTGGTTTAATTATTATTTTGTTGTTATTTCAAGTATTCCAGGTTTCTTTTTGTTGCCCTCTGCTGCCCTCTTATGTTCTCCTTTCTCCCTAGCTCTTTCCCTCTCTTGCTCTGTGCACACCTGCTCCCAGTTTCCTCATTAGCCTTCTTCGTCTCAGTCTCCTTTAAAAGGCCTCTCTCTTCAGTTCCTCTTTGCTGGGTCCTCGTCTAACTTCCTCCAACTCAGTCTCTCTGAGCCTTCCTCTCCTAGATTGAATCCCCTTGATGTCTCCATGGTTTCTGGCTTGTTTTGACTTTGTTTTCATGTTTTTGAATTTGGGATTTTGGATATTTGGACTCCTGGTTTTTAGTTTGTTTGGACTTAGTTTTTCATTTAAAATTTTTCTTATTCTTAGAAGTTTTCCCTTTTTTATTGAATTATTTGTTAATGAAATGAACAAATAGAAGACAATTTTCTATTTCCGGGTGGATCCTCTAAATAGGTGGTGCTACTTATTAGCCTAGGAAACTAGCCCCACCCGCCAGCGGCCCAAATAATTTTTGCCTGCGAGTGGTCTAGCCTTAGTTTTTCATTTTTGAATTTCCTACCTCTGTTTTCTGTTTACCTTATATTAAACAAGAAATTCATCTCTGCCTCCCTGCCTCTGCATTTTGGGTCATCTTTCCACAAACAAATCATGACAGTTTGTCTATTTGGTACTTTTTATTTTTTGAAATTAGCTTTTTTCTTGAATTTAATGTTAAACTGTTACTGACTCAAATAGAACGCAATGGACTATAATGAAAAATAAAGACCAGACGTCAACCAAAGCTGACGCCATTTCCAGGGAGTCTGGAGACTATAGCTGTTAAGTTTAGAGAAAGTTTAAACTCACCAGCAGAGGTGGAAAAAAATTAAGAATAATAATAGAAATATATTGGAATACATCTAAGATGTTTCTATAATTGTTTTACATCTGTCTTTTTTATAAGGATATTTACAGAAATATTTACAGAAATCTTCTGGTAATCCCCTACTTCTTTTCCATCCTAGTTGTTGCAGCATCATGCAGAGGGGATTGCTTTTCTTTTCAGCAAGGACTGGATAGCTGGCTGTAAGAGGTTTGGGAAGATGGATGGAGCTAGATACTGAGTAACCCTGAAAGAAACCTTGGAAAGGGGCTTGCAGAGACTTCTGACTGTTTGGGTGGGTCGTTTCTGAGCAGGAACGTGCAAAACATACAGAGCTATGATGTAAACAGTGCCTTTAATCAAAGCATGATTCTCATATGAGAATGGGCAAAACGAATTCCAAATAAAAGTTAAACTGTGGATCAAGAGCGTAAAAATTGATATCCACAGATGCTGACAGGATTACAAAAACAAAAAAATCTGACTCAGCTGATATGAACGGAAGAACAGGAGAGAGCATTTAAACACATTACATCACGCTGCCAGAGTAAGCATCAGCTGATGGGATTACCCAAAACTAAAAGCCAAAGCAGGATCTTATTCCTCGCCATGCATCGATTCCCAGCATTGAACAAACAGCAGAGTCTACATGAGCTCTAAGGGGCATCAAGTTGATCTGTCAGCAGTTTCATCCTTTACCAGATTGCCTCATTTGTACGAGGATTAAAGAAGCAGACCCAGAAAATGTTTTGAGGTTCATGACAATCCGGTCATTAGATCTCAGTCACAGCCTGCTCCTCCATTCTTCACTGTGGAAAACTGATTCTATAGGAAGGAAAGGTGGATGGAACAGAACCATGAGTTCTCTTTAGACTCTCCATATGTTAATACCTTCAGAACTTTTTCAGATTTTGTCCAACTCTCTATTTTATAAATGTTAAAAATATTAATCTTTACGTTTCACTGGAAGGAAAGTGGGAGAATCAGCTCTTTCCCCTGACATGTCTGATGTAATCTTTGTTTTTTCCTGATGCATTTCATCTACTAATGTTCTCCAACTCCTCTGAGTTATTTTAAAGGCAGCTCAGATTGACGCAGATTGCATCAAACTGACCATTAATGATACTTTTTAAAGCAGCAGGTTGGAGGGAATGCATTCCTGAATAGAGCTACACTAACTTCATTTAGCTGGAGTTGAGCCATGGGATGCTGCACCTCAACATCTGGAAACATCAGTCCGCCTCCAGTCTGATAGTAGAAACAAACGGGATCTGGCACGGCTTGAAGATAATCCCATCTATGTCAACAAAAGCAGCAGACTAGAGGAAAGATGCAGGCGACTGTAAGTGTGCCAGAGGAGCTTACCGGGGCTTTTCTTTTGGTGCAGTAGAGAAGAAGGGGAGGAGGAGAGGAGAGGAGAGCAACTCCACCGCTCTCCCTTCTTCAGGCGCCTCTCTCCATTCAGCGACTCTGATCGGGTTTATTTCCTCCCCCCAGAGGGGGGTAGGAGGAGGAGATGTAGGAGGAGGTAAAGAGGCAGCGTTCCCTCTTCTTTAGTAGCGCATGAGAGGAAGAGGAGGAAGAAGAGGCCCCGGTTCTGCTGCCTGATGCATCCCTGCTGCAGCTCGGCCCAGTCCCGCCCCTGCAGAGCAACCTGAACCGTCCACTGACCGCCTCCTGCTGCTGCTGCTGATCGGCTCAGACACTCAGAGAGGCTGCAGAGAGCAGGAGCATCCTACCTGCTCCACCACACACGCGCACACGATGTAGCCCGTCATTACGCAACGCAATCAACAGGGGTGGTGGGGCAGAAACAAGATGGGGAGGGGGGAGGGAGTGTCAGGGAGATCCTCTAAATTTCTGAAGTCTTCCCTCAGATCCGAGCTGTCAGCAAATGATTAAGAGTGAAATGATATAAGCGAAAAACACAAATAAAGCTCCTCTGTCTTTATTCTTTATCACAGCTGTTAGGATTCCTTTTAGAGTATTTATCTTAGTTTATTTATCACAGCCCCTCCCCCCCGTCCACTTGAGTTATGTCCATGAAAAAGATCCCTGCAAAGTCAAACAGCAAACACTCACATTGATCAGAAAATCATTGAATGATTGATTTATTTTTCAAACAGTGTTTTCATGTCGGCTTACAGTTAATCTAAAGTCATTTCAGCAGACATGAGGAGATCCATCTCATCTTTCTATTGCAAAAATTAGAAATCCCCTGTCTAGAGGTGATGCTGAGAAACTAGTCCATGCATTTGTTACTTCAAGGCTGGACTATTGTAATTCTTTACTATCAGGAAGTCCACAAACTGTAGTTAAGCTGTTCCAAAAAGGCTGCAGCCTGAGTTCTGATGAAAATGAAAAAGAGAGATCACATC